TTTGCTTTTGTGTCCGCCCTTACGGACAATAACGAAGAGAAAACCGTACAGTTCTTGAATAATACGAGTGGTTTTTGTGTCATATGTTTAGCCACGATCGCGATTCTGCGCCTTCAGTGAAAGGTTATGCGTAAAAAGAAACACGTCGATCGTATAACATTTGCCGCGTGGATAATATCATTAAGTACTGTAAAACGAATACTAATGAACTACGCTTAAAAATTAGTTAGAATAACTAATGGGCCATCAAACGTACTAATTCTGTTGATTTATTAGTAATCCAATCGGAAGGTAAATAGGAAGTAAAAACAGTTTGAAACTCTTTATGCTTGCATCGATTTCACACAGTTGAAATGCATAATTTTACTTCGTAGGTGGCCTACTCTAATAGATGGCGCATATCTCTCTCACTCAGAAAGAGTTTGACTGACGAAACACGAAATGAAAATGCCCTTTTCTTCACAAAAATTTCTACCTTTGATGCTTTACTACAAACATTACAGATTTTCGAATTGTATGCTGCATTGAATACACAAGTGGGAACTGAGGGGAGCATTTGAAAAAACCCGCCAAGAAATATCGTTAAACCCAATTGGATGAAATAGTGATCTTGACTGAGTACCAAGAAGATGAGCGGGGAATGGGGAAAGACAAAAAATTAGTCAGAAAATAATAACCACGAGTATATCTTTTCAATCAACTTAATAATGAGTTGTTTTTTTTTAAAAGACTTACGTTCTCATCATCATCATCATCAGGCAAAATTTGGTAAATATTTACATAATCTTATCGAAAATTACGGAGAAATTGATCGCACCACATGACATCAAACTGAGCAATAAGTTTCTGTAATCATAGCAAAATAGAGCAAAAACAATGTGTTCGGTGTCGGCTCAATATGGGATTCCTCGAAATGCGCGTTATGAAACCGTAATAAAAACAGCAATAAGGAAGAAGAAAAAAGCAAAAAAAAAAGTGTTCCTCGAGAAGTGAATACAGGACGGTTGCAAACGCATGTGCTGCACTCTAGAGGCTACTTGTGTAACCACTACCCGCAAAAAACCTGCGTAGAGCACACCAACGCAATAGATGAGATAGGCCAATCTATCCGGGTCATGGCGGGAGCGAGTTTGTTGTCATCAACCAATTTCGCACGTGTGGCGTTTCCTCAAAATATGTTTATTACAAAAGTATTTTTTACAGAAGAAAAACCTCTGCAGAGATGAATTCGTGAGTAAAACATAGATATTTTCAAGTGATCCTCTTGAAGTAGGCAAAGGGTAAAAAACGCAGAAGTGAGAGAGTGACCTAAAGTAACTGGTAAAGGTGCCGGTTGAACGAATGTGAACTTAGAATATAAACTTGCGCACGAAAAGTAATGGACATGACCTGAAGTGTCAGGCGTTTAGAGGCTAGATAAGGACCGATAAGATGTGTCTTAGAAGAGGGAAAATTTCATAAATACCAGCCTGCGGGACACGTGTTGGATGCGTGGCTATGAAGCCGAGGGCGCGCACTTCATGTCTAGCATAACAATCTCAAAAGCCGGACGTTGTCATGTATCCTTGGGGGGTCGGCCAAGGAACAACCATCTAGGTCAATCTGGGCCACTTGCTAGAAAAGAATCTGGCGAAAAATTAGCTTAGAACAAGGTAGAAGGCGGTTTCAGAGGCACACTGAATAGATTCGGACGTTAGCTGATGCTCACACACGCATTGGATATTAGGGCACTTTTTATTACGGGATAGTGTCGATAGAAAGCTGTCAAATATCGAATCTCCAAAGGGGCAGGTGGATTGTGTAACGAGGCATTTTGCCGACAACAACTCACGACATGTCATAACGCTTCCATCATGGCCTAGATCGAGAAAAATCGAATCAACCAATAACTTAGCCTGCGCATTTTCTGGTTTCAAATCCATGTAAGTTGTTTTAGTGTTTCAGTTATTTTTTTATAGAAAAGATTGCGCGGATTCATAAATGCCTGATCGAATCCGACTTCGGGATATCAAATACCGCGCGTTCAGCATCAACCTCTAGATCTTGTGGCAGCCTAATGGAAAAAGCCTCTATTCCTACAAACCGTAGGTTATATTAAGATATATTAAGGTAAGATATGGAGGAATAATTATTTATATATAAAAAAGAGAATGTCTGAAGGCCAGTATACCTAAGTCTGGATAATAAACTGAGAATTACCAGACATTTGATCCGAACATAATTTAGACTGTACAAAGTTGAGCATAATTTCTGTATCTGTATATTAGAGAACTTCATCATAGACGAACGATGCCTCAGAGATATGGACGGTAAGCTGAGGACAAATCATTGAGTTTGCGAACTGCATTAGGCCCGTAAGGATGCACATTTGTTTCAGAACATTCTGCATCCCTAAAACGGGTTTACAAAGGCTTTCTAAAAAACATGTCTTTTAAAAAAAAGGTAAGCCTTTTCGCCAATCACTCACTATATGCAAAACGGTAATACCTGAATAACACATCATGGCATTGATACTAGGCGGGGTCAATTCGTGTCATGAAATCATGAGTTGTCAGTGCAGCATGTGTGGTATGTCTTAGGACTTTCCCAGCTAAGGACTAAATTCTGTAAGCCATTAGGTATACTATAGTGAACGAAGGTCTTATTCCATTGAAATGCACGTGCAAACCGTATGCAACGGAACGAACCTATACAAAGGCAACCTACGTCCATAGATCAGTGGCAGCAAAACCAAACCTTTATTTAAAAATTATGAGTTGTACACCCTGATCTAACTTTCTTCAAAACACGGATATATTTCTTCCGAGGTTTGTGCCGTCTAACATCGCTAAATGAGTAACGTAAATCAATACAAAATGCACGCCTATCACCACCGTCATGCACGTGGTCGGAACACGATTTCTATCATGTGTCACAGACAAAAGAAGGCGATAACAAACAACCGCCGGATTTAATACGTCATAACTGTAAAGTAGCATCATACAATATATCCTGCTAGCTATATGTTGGAACCGCTATCTTGGCCAGTAGACGGGAATTTTAGTGGAGCTTTGAAAGCAATATTTTTAGATTCCGTTGTACGCCTAAAATAATCACTTCTCCCAGTTCCATTGCGTACATAAAAAATTGTACAGTGTAGTAATTATCGATTTGAATATGTGCTCGACATTTTAGTCAGTCATCTTCTGCTTTATCAGTTGACCTATTTGTCTTTATAAAGAAGCTAATTTATCTTCAAAATAAAGGCGATTTGGAGCAACAAATAAACGAAATGTATTTAAAGCAACAGGATTGCCAAATGCTTTTACCATTAATAGTGCGCCGCACTGATTAATCAAATCAAATTCTATGCACCATTAATTGCCCTTGAATGACTCGGACTTTATATGTATCACAAACGCATATTTATTTATAGACAATGAAGACAAAAAATAATACCTTATCGCGGGCCATCAAAGTCAAGCTGTTAACGAAATATCAATCCTTCCTTGGCAAACATATAGTCATCGCTGTGATGTCTTTATAATCGAACATTGCTTCCGGATAACATTTAATACGTATTTACATTAAAAGACATACGCTGACGACGCGAGTCAACAACAACAAATATGCTTTTGCAAGTGTTTTGCCTAATATTCGCTTTACTTTCTTATCCGGTTCTGCCATCCACCGTTAGGTAGCTTAGGCGCCCTTCCATCTCTAAGTAAATCTAATCTTGTCCTGACCTATATATCGATACCGTGACGAATGATACCAGTGGCGACAACGACAACAGCAACAAACCCCAACAACGACAAGACGCTACCCCTATTTGTCGACGATGACCACGACACTGACGATGATAATAGTGCTGCTGCTGCTGAGGTTTTGAAGAGAGGGAAGCGGAAGCCATAGGTCGTCCGGCAGACTAAATACTTACCTGAGCTGAAGGTCAACGCAAGGAACATTTGAAACGAGATATCGGCAGCACAGCGAAAACGTAAACAACCGTAATACAAGTTCAGTGAAAAGCATCTGAGTACAACGAGTAGCTCTAATGTAAACTCGAAGCAGAAACTGCCTACCCTTTCCTCTATTGCAACCTTGAGCTTCTTGGTAGTTGCATTAATATTTTCCGTGATAGAAAAAGCCAGAACTTCTTTATTTTGAACAAGTAAAACATCAAGTTATTCGAGGTTTCCCCTTTAAGCGTTGCTTGATACTCTAAAGTAAAAGAGGATCATAAAAGCCAGCTGTTACGCTAGTCAGGTTTGGCCATCGATGACTGTTTCACAACGAAGTTCACACAGTTATGGCCTCGGTTACCCCGGCATTTAGTTGAACGTTTCTTATTTTCAATAATGAAAACTACACTTTGATGGTACCATAGGAAACAGGCCGTGTGCCAACAATGATCTGCTAAAATTTTTGCTACTCTGTGTAGTTTATACTAAATCAGACACTTAGGTTTCAAACTTATGTGAGTTTTACGTGAGCGTATCTACTTTACTTCTATCAAGACACCCAATGAATGAATAGGATAGGGGTACAGCAACCTACCAATAGACGAACGGATACATACTTATTTGGGAGCATGTATTCATTTTGAAACCAATAGAAAAATCGAGCATGTTTAGGTAGCTTTTGTGACTGAAAGATAGCATAGATTTATTACTCCGGTAGAGAGACAGACTCCTGTCCAAGTGAAGGCTATTATCTCTAATTATTTTAGAGAAGGTAGCATTATTCGAGACGAACGTATCATAATAGTAAGTGTGATCTAGCACGCTGTTCCTTTTGAGATGTAGCACATGGGATCAACGTGCTTTTATTACAGTTGTTCAGGTAAAAATAGCTTTCTAAATAATAAGTATGGGCCAAGTGCTCATAAGTCAGTTCTCATGTCTTTGGTCTTATCTGATAGCAATTATGTTAAAGAAAGGTGTTACTTTTAGTGATCACGCGATGACTTCGGATTAGTAGTAGTCTCCTTGTTACAAAAATATCTGTAGCAGCTCTCATCTGTTAATGATACAGCTTCTGGGCGACTTCAGCAATAGAAAGCTTAGTGGACGTCTTAATGCTCCTTTGGCGTCATAGTATATTCTTAATCGCATTGTTTACTTAAGGCGGAAGTATCTCGCTCCGTACCCTACGTGTAAGTCAAGAAGAACGTGATAAAATGGACTCAGGTAAATTTTCTAGCTCTAGAAATACTGGTCATGGCCAATTTAGGACAAGATTTGCCAGATGAGTATCACCTGACCAACGTCGGCTCGTGCAAGTAAACGCGAAGGAACTTTGGTAGTCCTGCTATAGCTAAATGGCCATTTTCAACCACTAATAATAATCCGGAAGAATTGAAATGGATGAAAGCTGCATCTAGTTAAGATTACAGATTTCTCTTTGTACAGCGGAGTTGGCAATTTGCCATCGTGAAATCTGAACCACATACATTCGGTTTAGCTGTGTTAGCAGCAATTACTGTGGTTCGCAACACGTGCTTCCGTCGAAGATGAGATTTAAAAATGTCGACTCGCTTGGATCTTTGGCCAGTTATTACCAGTTTACATGATTACGTTGGCAGAGAGAAATCCCTATGCAAGGAAGCTCTTGCAGACTCGTGGTCAAGTTTCAGGATTTAGTTACCAGGTTAACAATGTGGATCCACAATTATCCTTGGGAATATGTATTCAATTCCGGTAGAACAGTACCAAAAAGTGCAAAAAAAGCGACTGAAAGCCAAAAGTGGTGTTGTCAGACTTTTCTGGTTTACAACTCTGAATAGATCGGGTGTTATTCTTTTTTAATTATTAGGCCTAGTGCCGTGCGTTATATTAAAGGCACTTGAAAAATGAGGGTCATCTCTGACATAAAAGCGCCTTGACTTATCATTTTCGTAGGCCCCTATTTGCTTATTTCGAACGAAGGTATAGTGCATTTTTGTACTATATTTCGATACGAACGGTCTTGTTATCCTCATAAAACAATCAAAACGCAGCGGCCTGAACTTTCGTAGCCTCCAACGATGCTTTTTATGTGTATGTGTCTGTCCATATACTGGATTGTTAGCTGAACGGGCTTAAGCCAAGCGAGTGAAGGAACGATGCGCAAAAGGACTCATTTATTCCATGGAACTTGACCAAGTTTCGAATGCTAATGGAGTTATCTGATGAACTGAGGTGAGACCCTTTAGCCTTCTTCAGTCGTGTCTGCATATGTGTCCTCGAACGCGCACGACGTTGATACATAAAACAGTTCAGCCGATCTTTAGGCCCAGCAAACAGAAACAAACGTGACCTTTACCTGCGTCGCTACACCACCTATCTGCGTATTTTTTTTTTGGTCCAGTCATTCAAAAACATTCATGTGTCATGCAGTCACAAATGCCATGCTCTTGTCGATTTGTCAATAACCGCGTCAGACTAAACTACGCATATTTTGTATACTTGCATACGTTGCTTCCTCTATCATATTATCAGTAGACTTTAACAAACATGTGTGTTTTAATAATAGTACTCATCTTTTCGTAGAATGTGCTAAAGTTAAATATCGCGTCCGACACAAGGTGTCCCAACCAGCAAGGAATCATCCATACGATGCGGATTTTCGCCCAAAATATTAACTAGCTCCCCTCCGGCACGTTTTCCTAGCGCGTATTTATGTATTTAAGGTTCTGTTGTTATTTCTTGCAGCATAATCACCAGGAATCTGCAAAGATATGTATCATATCAAGATCTGTAACGGGCAGTAACGTTGGAAGCGGCTAGAATAGCAGTATAATGCATATGCAGCATCGTGAAGCAGCACGCGCCACGTCAGCCGACGCGAAAAGAACAATACTCAGGTCTGAAATAGCCAGCGAGAAGTTATCCTCTTCTCAGTTCCCAATATTCTCATCCTTAAATTCACGAATGCATAGCAGGGCTTCACTCTGGGTCGCTCTCTAACGTTATTGGTAACCAAGAGAGGCTGCTTACATCGACAACGACGACTAGCACTTCTGGCAAACGGAAGCGCCCTGCCTGAACGACTAAACGAGTAAGGGGGCGAGTGGCCAAGCACCCGGCCGCCAGCCGCCTTCCTTCAACACCTTCACCAATGGCAAAGCAATTCTTCTTTCCAGTTGAGCCGCTAATCAAGATAGAAGATGACTCTTTTATAAAAAAGAGTCCCGTCTCAGTGACGTCACCTTTAACAGCCGTATCACCGTGCGTAAACGTAAATGCTCCGGAAGAGATCAAATATTCATGCAAGTAACCGAATGAGCGTCTTCTTTACAAAAAAAAAAAAAATATGTACTTTACGTCCTTAATAACAAACGGGTGAAGAGCGCGAGCAGTAATCAGAATGTTTTAGGCGATACAGATTCAATTCGTTTTTGACGGTTTACAAGATCTCATCTTGTAAAATGTGGTTTGACAAAGATGATGATACTGTTTCGTCAACAAGTCATTTACGGATGCATCCGCAAAAATCATTCCAGCCAAAGAACAGCAATTAATGTTCATCTGACTGTTCTGTTAAAGGTAGGTAGGTTATATCACATGCAACTGGGTTTAATGTTGAATTTCTAATTATTTTATAAATGGCCGGAATAGCTGCACATGAGATAAAACGACGCAGGCCGCAGGCAGGCATAGTCAAATGATTATCATACACGGGACTGAGCGCAGTCTTGAAGTCAGTGTGCGCGTGTCGGAACACCTGTTCCTGTTTACTCAGTCTGCTGTGTAAATGAGCGTTCGTGAATTTATGTGAAGCGCACATTTACTCGCAATGTGGGAAACCGCCGTTGGCATAAAGTCACAAATAGACCCATCCAGAGCTACGTTAGCTTTTAATTGTGGCCATTGTCTTTTGAATAAGTAATGATTTACCTATAGAAAATTGGAATCACTGCGCGAGGCATATACAGCCAAAATGTATCCTGTATAACAAAACGGTCGTCCTAAACGTAACCACGTTGACCAATTCTAGCTTGTTCTGCTTGTGTGTTGCTTTTGAAATCACTTGGGTTTTTAAACGTGATCTATATTATCTCGTTTTTATATTAATGATATCATAGAAGAAAAGTGGCTTTTCGACATTTCGTCGTAGATTGCTTTTGCAAACTATCAGACTTTTTATAAGATCTCATCAGTTCATCGAAATTGAACAAGACAAAGTCAATTCTCCCTTGCAGAAATTTCCGTTTGTGTTTTATTTTTTCTACTTTATTTACTAAGAAGGACTATTTTGACCCTCTCTGACCACAGAGTCGGAATGCTGAGATTCAGATATATCGAACGCACATCGGTCAGATGATAGCCGCTTATTTAGACACGTATTTAGGTGGATGCTACTTATGGAACGCTAAAAATTACTAGCTCTATATGTATGTATATATATTGACAATTAGCGGAACGAATTCTACTAAAAGTATAGTAATATTTTCGTGTCGTTCTCAGGCGGTCTGATGGAAACTCGAAACAAACATTTCTGCATAACCTTCGTTTAACCCAACTATTTGAGAGACGCACGAACACCGTCAGTGATGATAGATATCAATAAATACATTTTAGGTACATGCTATCCTGTAAATTGCAAACGCGCTAGAGGCTTATTGGTGCGTCTGGGCCAGTATTGTGAATCATTTGTAACTCGAATGGACCAGGTTGTTAAATTTATTCCCAAATATAAAATATATTTCTTTATTCACACAGGTTAGTAAGTAGCATGCAACGCTGATGGCAGTCTCTCTCAACCAAAGGTTTCATCGTGCAAGCCGCCATGGTAACATTCCAAAACATGTACATGACTAAACGTATCGTATCTGTCTCAAGCGGCTATGAAGCATCATAGAACAACGGTAATAAATGTAGATACACTTTCTGTAAGTTATCTATACCGCTTTACGATGCAAGAACGGGGTCTAAATCGTCCGAGGAGAAATCATTAAAAGAGCTTTATTATATGTTTAAATGATGTTCATCCATGCTTCTTCATTCATTCATACACAGGCAAAATATTTTGTAATGCAATTACGCTTCTACAACAAATTTCCTTCAACAAATGCGCCTTGTGTTTGGAAATCAAATGTCTGTTATGGTAGATTTCGAAGACAAGCGCATCAATACACCAGCAGGTTTAGGGCTTACAGATTCGCATGATCAAAAGGTTATATTAGATGTATCTGCTTCATACAAGAGCCATAAGACGCAATTATCATAAACCCGGCTCCACGCCACGTGCTTGCACATATGCTTACATACATGAAGTCGGCAACGATTTTGTTTGCGGTGGTGAAGCTCTCCACGTAACAATATCATAATGAAAGAAAAAGAATATGGAGAAAAGCAGAACCAAAATAGATAATTACTCTCCAGTCAATGTAAATCTCTCTAATCAACGTCGAAGAAGCAATGTATACCTATGTTGGTTTCTGTTTTCGTTAAGCTAGCTGAGAGCGTGCCCCGTTCCAACTACATTCAGTAGGACCTAACTGCAGGGGCAAATTCACGTTTCCAGTGTTCCAGCAAAATGTTTAGTTGTGCATTACACACGAGGTTTTATTTGTGCATTACCTAAAAGTATTCGAAATTTCTAGTTATCATTGGGTGTAATGCTCAAAAAGTGTAATCTCCTTTGGGTTTGTTAATGTTCAAAAAGGGCAGTCAAAAAAGATATTGATCATTAAAAGCGTTCACTCGTTCCCCGCCACCATATTGTTTTATAACAAATAATTACTCCGTGCTCGTAGAAAATATCGAGTATTCATTTCGTCCTTGTGCAAGCCGTCCATATTGAGATTACTACTTGTCTACATAAGAAGCGGACATTTTGTTCACCTAGCCATCACCTGTAATGCTTAGTGGTCAGAAAAAGGGCGTCCGAGTAGTTTACTAAACGTTGTCAACAAGATAAACAAAAAACAAAGACTTGAGCTTGTAAACAAATATATTTATTAGGAATATATTATTATTTAGAAAAGTATTAACATTTCATTATGAAGGTAAGTCGTTCAGACATAACAAGACTAATCCATCTTGCCTGCCCTTTAGTTCAGCCCAACTCTGTAATCAACTGTAAATCAAAACTGGCCTCTGTGAAAACTCGCAATTGGCGGAAGTACTTCTCTAGTTGTCTACTATAATCCTGGCAAAACGTTTTTGAATAGATTGAATCTTGAAAACACTACTTAGCTACTTAAATTATTTATCTAGCTCTATATCAAAATATTTGTGATTTTATTCAGCGGCGAGAGGTGTTAGTGCATAAGGAGTTTTAGTAAGAGAACTCCGAGTTTGATTCATATAACTGAAATGTGTAAAAAATCTCTAAGATTCATACTCTGTCAAGACATTTCCCATGAACTTCAGAAGTTACAGACGTCCTTAGACAACGAGATTCAGGTCATGGCTACATGATTTTCCTATGAGCATGGTTAGCATATTTGAGAAACCAGTAATTATCATTCCATTGTATCCACGTAAGGCTATTGTACGAATTCAATTGTATTTGACAAGTTTAACACTGCACAGTTGCCCCCGGTAACTGAGAGTAGCTCAGCTTGACTTAGAAAATAAGCACTGAGAAAATCAGTCCTAAACACAGGGCTATGCTTAATAGCTTGTCTCCAAAATATATTAGGTGTGAAAGTTCTTACTCCTGCCTTTCCAAAAACAGTTAAAGGTTGTTTAAGAGTATAGAACGATAAAGCTCTCTCCAAGGATTATATCGTGTGTTGAATAAAGGGATACTAGATAGAAGAGGTAAAGCTTGTATGCAAATGAAACTCAACTTTTCTTAAAAGCAGTTTTCGTTTAACGCGGTACACCCTTTGGACGTTGATCTTCGCTTTAAAGGTCGGATGCTAAGAGGCTTAAGGTATCTGTGTGCAGTGAATACAGCTTCATTGTCTTCCATTCTACAATGAACTTCGGGGTGTAAGAAAGCTGGAAGTCTTTTTGAGATACGCTCGAAAAGGTAGCCTAGCAATTGCGTTAATAGTTCCTATATAGACAATGAGCTGGCTTGTTGGTGCCTACATAACGCGGAGCTGTTGCTAGGAATGTCCTGCCTAGAATGTTTTTCACTCGCCGTGAAAAGCATTAATAACCACTGTGATCCCTTATCATACGTTTATGGAAGATTCGTAACTCAGATTAGGATGAAGCACCACAAGGTCCACGTAGTCCTAATTATTTATTAGAAACATTGAGTACAGCCTAAGATATTTTTTCTCATAAATACTTCATTTAAATTTCAGACGGCGTTTTGTTACTGTGTTCATGGGACTTTATTTTTATTCGGGAATATACTGATATGGCCGACTAACAATCCGGTTTTATCTCCCATAGAGCATTATGAACGATATGAAAAACATTTTTTTTTGAAAAAATGTCTCCGATACTTATTAACAAATACGTATTAGTTAACAAGTTAATGGAAATTATCTATCAAGAATATTTGTGCAGCTAATGCAAAAGGCAAAATGTTAAAATCTTCACAGAGAACCTTACCAAGTATGAAAAATCCCACCCATAATAAGACTGATATATCTAGGGATATGTTCAATCGGACAGAAATTTTGGCAATCGTTACTATATTGCCTAGTCATTACTTCAAAGCTTGACACGCTCTTTTTATGAACCAATCTACGTTTGCTGCACTATTTATATTTTAGTTGATTGCAACAGCTCGCCGTGCGAATAAATTATTTGACCAAAGAGCTATAATGCGGTACAGTTAACCAGTTTCACCAGCTAATCGCTGCAAAATACACAGCTGACATAGAAAAAGATATTTATTTCAATCACAAGTAACGACCCCGGGCAGATATAAGGCGTAGATGAACTGCGGGCTCGATTTCCTGAAAATTCGGTCCCGTTGCCCGAACAGCTCTCTGCACATGTATAAATTAATCGCACCACTGTCGCCATCTGGCGACGCGCATTGAGGAATCTATTAAAAACAACGAAGTAAATTCCACATGAACTCAGAAAACGTGCCATTGCAAACCGTTTTACTGCGTCCATATCACTTCTCGCATAAAATCGGTATTGAGAATAAAAAACGATCCTTTACGAAAACCTGGTAAGCATAAACACTACACCTAGAATAGGCTTCATCACGGACAACGTATGGGTATTGATATGATTTGAAGGAGGGATGCGTATTAATGTAGAGGTTTTGAAACACATCATGAACGCAGACTGCGACTCGACTCCGATTGTCTTAACCGGGTCGAACCATTTACAATATAACGGTCGTTCCGAAGGATCCCCGTTAAATGACAACATTAGTTCGCATGAGCCTTAATGGAAAACAGGAAAAATACTGAGGTATCTCTCACTGAGGTATCAAAAAATTCTCTGTGTCTCGCTTATGACACAGGCTTTACTCTAACGTATTTGCTCCGGCTACTGTGGGACTTCTATACCTATATCTAAAAACCTATTTGGTGCCTAGGCGGCCCGGACCTATACATAAGGACCTCAGATGGAACCTGGATTAACGGTAATGTCCTCACGTTAGTGTGAACTTCGATTTACAATCAGCTTTTTTCTCATTTTTAAAAGCGACTTTCCTTGGTCGTATTAAAACGATTCGAATCTATGTAGCAGGGTTTGAAGGATGACAGGCTATTCAAGATCAGATGCAGAGATCCGAGAATGGGTCGATCAACGGGTCGCCTCTGTATATGTATGTATGTATGTATGGCTCCTTTTTTAGTCGATCAATTTGTTTTTCGGCCAACAGATGGAAAAAAGCAATGGAAAGACAACTAGATTATGTACTAGGCAAGATTTCCCTCTCTAAAAAGTAACACCATTTCAAGTGCACTGGAAAAAAAATGGCTACCTTACCAATCTATTGTTTGACTATATTGGGCTGTATTCGTCAATAAAAAGAAAGCTATTTTTATACTTTTGTACAGGCTGGACGACTAGTCAGCTATATTTGAAGAAAGCGACTTCATTTAATAAGAAGAACAAATAGTAGCGTTAGTTGCTGTACCTTCTCTTTTGGATTTTTCTTGGAAAATCCAGGCCCCTACATTTGTGATGGTAGTGCATGTGGAAATGGATTTAGGCCTTTTTGCACAAAAAGCCTTATCTCTTGTTATCTCCTTTGCATGGAAACTGGTTTTAAATCTAGACTATTTTACACCAAAACTATATCCTTGAATTTCGCAGATATCTCCAATGTTAAAAAAATAACCAACATTATTAAAATAACTCAGAAAATATATGTAATTCGAAATAGAAAAAAACCGTCTGCGCGCTAGTACCTCAAAACTTTTTCGCGATTGTGTAACAATTTACTCAAATAGCTTTGTTGATAAAATAGTTTTTTAGAGAAAATTTCACTGTTTGGCCCTATGTTTTTATACTGAACCACAATCAATATATAAAACATATAGTTAATTTCTTAGAACTGGATACGATAAATACTACCGTTAATCATAGAGTTCGCGGCCCTCGCTTAAGCTTGTACTGATAGACTAAGAAAATATATGAAATTTATTGGCGGACGAAAACACGCTAGAAGAGCTCGGGATATTTTTTTCTACACGGCCACAACGCTATCGTTCAAAGTGCTAGAAAGCGGTTTACCCAATCTGGAAAATAGCATCCGGGACCTCAAGTTTTGATTCGACAGATTACTTTGATGGAAGGCAGCCGACAAACAACTTAGTAACCGACTAAAAAAATAAGCCACCTTAAGTTTTTTTGTGATTACGCAAAAACATGGAGCTTGGGTACCTCATCAACTCTCTCTGAATGCAACAAAGGATCTGAATCTCAGTACCTCGCTCGGTGTCGAGCGTCACACCGATTTTTCCACAAAATTGTCACCAGTGATGACAAGTGGTGTGCGTCAATATGAACTAGAGATTAAAATGGGTGGCTGTAAAGCAAAAGCCAACGCCTAGGGTTCAACCAAGCCTTCATCCAAAAAAGGTTGTTGTGCGTCTAATGGATTAGGAAATCTGATTTACTAAAAACCGTTTCCTGTGAAGCAGATAGTTGATCGATTTGTTGTTTGGCTCAGTTTGCACCGAATCAACAAACTTATTCAAGAGGAGAGATAGCAATGACGCACGGGATCAGGTTATTCTGCTTCATGACAGCATGAGACCACACACGGCAAGCATCGTTAAAATTGCCCTCGTCGACTTTGAATGGGATGTTTTGTTGCACCCTCCATGTTATCCCGACCTTGTGCTGACGAATTTTCGTCTTTTTCCTTCACTGGAAAGCACCTTCGCGATTTTACCTTTGACAAGGATCAACAACTCAAAGCAGGATTGAGAATCTTTTCTAAGATAAATGGTGTACATCATTTGAGGAAAATATGGGAGGAAGCTGTAAACAGTGACGAAGGATAAGTATCATAATAATTTATTGTCACAAGAAGGAAAGATGTAGAATGTTTATACAGTAAAAACCGCGGGAACTTCTGATCTCATGCTCCCAACATGATACGAAAGAGCATTCGTCGGATATGTATCATTGCTTCTACAATTCGAACGATGGTGTATGCAACAGCATCACCTTTGCTCTGTCATCGCCGTTTGTAAAGCAGGAACCGCGGAGGAGCTATTTGAATGGCGGTTCGCTGCTTCGTCTGTGTAATGGCTCCATAGTAGTAGACGATTGCGCTTAGTAGTGGCCGGTTTCGTTCCGTCGTCGTCGGCCTGGTTTGCCTTTGCCCTTCCCCATTGACGGCGAGTCGTGTCGAAGCGAGGCGAGGGGGGCCGAGAAGAAGGGTGGATATGGTCTCGGGAGCCCGCGATCGACGACCAATGCAACTTCAGGATCCGTGCAGAGTAGAGGATGTTTTCTTGAAGGAAATAGAAGGAGACGCCGACGTACTCTACAGTGTGACGAAAGGCACTGCGCCACGCTTGCTTGACTAGAGCGTGGTGATCGTCACCGTACGTCTTATTACGACGAGCACGAGCAGCAACGCCGCTCCTCGGGTTTCTTTTGTCAGTATTTTCGATTTTTCTTTCTGCCTTCAGTAAAGACTTTGGTGCTTGCAAGATGGTGTCTGGAATGGTCGAAACCAAGATTGTTCCGGAAAAGAAGGAATGCGAAGAAAAAAGATCAAAGTTGGTAAAATATGGACAAACAGTAAACCTTAATCTAGGATGCTTCGGCATGGTAAGTTGAATTGTTTTTACGATGTCTTGAGCTTCTTTCCTGCTGTCCTCGTATGTAGTCATTCAGTTTAACTTCAAACGGCGGTCGGCTTTCATAGGGGTCCTGTAACTAGAAACTTGTGTTACACTCACACTGTGTCTCCACTCTGCTCCGGTGGGGAAAGAGGCATTGCATATTGTATAAGTCAGAAGCGAACGGTTCATTTATAGCATTGAATACACTCAAATTGGGAGCATCAAAATATTCAGGGCTAGAGTGATATTCCTTACTTAATATATAAAAGTAAGTAATTAAACAAGTAATGGGCGTCACTGTTTGTTGCTTTTTTTCATTAAGTTTTCATTTGCTAATGCTCAAGCATTATCTGTCGTCGCTCATTCTCTTTTCTTCGAGGTTGTTGTCACCTTTTTGATTCGAATCGTACAATTTTACCTCGAGTTCGGGCCCCAAAGAAAAATATGTCGGATAAAAAAGTGATACCATAAGGATCTTAAAGGTAAGAGATACAAGCTTATCTAATAATTATCCTCCTTTAAAAGTGGCTGAAAGAGATTCTTGGCGAACTCAAAACCCGCTTGAGTGCGTCCTTTAGGTCAAGGATACGATACCATTTTTGAATTTAGATAGTATAAAATCTGCTTCCTGCTGTGTTCTCTTCAAGTCATTCATAGTGTATTTGACTGCAATGATGTCCACACAAGGGTTTGAGTGAGAAACGTAAAATCTATTCATCGGTTCAATCAGTCCAGGGTTGAGTTAAGGAGTTGTAACATTTTTTTTTGTTTCTACTGGTATAGTTTCAAAATATTGCAAGCCCATGAACTCGAAACTTAGCGGGACAAGTAGTTTCGCCACAACTATGAAGATAGTAACTATTCTGCATTATAACATCGCGGGTAGTTTTAGCATAATTAGATTCAAAGACTTGAAATCGAAGTTTCCCCTGCAGCAAAAGCAACGAATAGTTTATACGGTGATCGAATTTTCTCATTGAACATAGCTACGATAGAATTGCTTTTTTAAGCAAGCTTTTAAGAGCTCAACATGGCAAGGGAGGATACGGCGTTATCATGTATCACTAATCGCGCTCTGTTACTTCATTTTATTGGCTTATCTTCCCGTCTGATGCCCAGACTTGTTTGACGGCCACGCCACCGGTTTTTAATAGACGCAGCTATCTAAATCATTCTTGAGCTTTGCCCATTTAATGCTGCTATTTGAAGAAATCTTCAGAGAGAAGATCAGCGCTTTTTTTAAATGACCTTTGCGTATTAGATGTGCTTTACTTGTGAGGATTTGATCGAGTCTTATTAGGGTCACAGGTAACCAAATGCATACCTTTTCGCTTCGGGCAGTGTACACCAGCAACAGATGGATACGCCAGACAAAGATGAGAAGCCGAATTGTACGTGTACAATTTTTTTTTTCGTCTGTTGGGTATTCTCGCCTGGGCGTGTGTTGTAACGAAGCTACATTTTCATCCTGCCTGCTTTTTCAAACGTTTCACGTTGCCGTTCTGGATTGGGGAAAGAGATCACCGCGGCACGGTGGTATCGCGTACTGATGTATAATGGCAGCTGTTCCCCGTTATAAGCTTGCCTACGAATGTTGCAGCACCAAAATAGTAAAAATCACTTGAATTGCCACGCTATGCCGATTTAAGAACTAAGCAAACAGAATCATACTTAAAATTTACTGAATTCTGTATAGATTTGATTAGGTCGTATAGTTCGAAGTAAATAAGTATGTATAATGGTGTGACAACAATGAGCATTGGCTGTACTTTGTGGCTTCCTGGTCATTGAAACGCAGCGCAAGACGACAAGAGAAAACGGAACTCGTTCTGCAAAATTTTATTTGCTACATCCGGTAATTGCTCTAACTGAAGTAGACATTAATCACATTTCGGCAGTAATGTTCTCTGTGGCAAAACGCTCTGAGGGTAGATTTCGATCCTGTTATGAAGACATCTTGGTACCAATAGCTTTCCACCTAGCAATGAGTTGCTTCGAGTAAAAGCTCTCCTGTGCCTAAGTACCCATCCTTGTAGAACCCTAGCTCGTCGTTACTCGTTTCTGGCAGCTATATCTTACTACTGTTTTCATTTACGAAGTGCTCTAGCCCATTTAGAAGAGTTGCGCTTGCGCAAGGTGAGTCTGCTTTCAGTTCAGCTTGCCGATTATTCTTAGATCAAGGCTGTAACGCCGTATCGAGGAGAGCTGCTGGCTATGACGCCGCATTTTTGTCGTACGACGGAACGAGCGTTTGAACATTTCTATGTATTACGTTCGTGCATGGTTTATTCTCACTCGAATGTGTCGAGGTGGCTGCGGCCCCACAACCGTCTCCCTGGGCTATTGCCGCACGTTGAACTTTGCAAAGAGCAGAACTGACCAGATCTAACCGGACTGAACTGGTCGATGTAACACCGAGTCCAACGAAGCCGTGCTTCCCTATCTTTACTCCAAATCGGGCCGCTTTTGGCTCTTTCCACCGAAGTGGCGAGAAAGAGGGTGAGAGTGACTTAGAGAGATGTAGCAGGCGGAACCCTTCGCTCCAGATCCAGCCACGTAGCTGTGGTACGAATCGGTGCTCAGTAGTTGACGTCGAAAGCAGGACAGTCGCGGCCGACGCCCTGAGTACGTTTCACTGCCCAGGCCTATATTTCAGAATTCTGCCCATGCTGTAGCTAGGTCGCGTACTAGGCGGCCTGTCTATATATATTGGCTTTCGGCCTTGTTTTATCTGCAGAAGCGTTTTGCAACAGTACCCTTAGTTGCACGTCGTCGTCGTGTCGCCTGGATGCCCACATTAGTGCAAGCTATATATATATATAATATTTTATCCAATGGTGACTGCTTTATTACTCAATGGTATAATTTGAACAAATTCGTATGGTTTTGCTTTACCGGTTATGTATTAAAGTAATCGTCTGAGCCTCGGGTTTGCCTCCAGGATCGACTTAAATCGATGTCTAGGGCACCACATGTACGTGTACATGCTTGTTACGGCAGTGCAAAAGCCGGCCAAACATTATGTAAACATGTCGTATTGAATCCACTTTGTCACCACATGTCTAACTGGACTGAATGATATTTTTTTGTTGTTTACCTATATAACGAGAAATGGGAATAAATCAGCTAAACAAATGCACTTGTGCACGTGTGTATCATAGAAATACAATTACCTGACCGATGGAACTGGCTTCCGTTGCCTTTGGCCTGTATATACCCAGTCCACCGTTGAATAACCAGTAGCGTTGGGAACGTGACGTATAATGTAGGATAGTCCGATTTTCAGCTGCAATGTGCAGTGGTACGTTCTGCACCGTATTGCGTATCGCATCCTTTGCAGCTCGATAAAAGCGTACAGACTGTCGAATTGTTATCAACGCTTTGTGATGTAACAGCGCTGGCGTGTCAGACCCGGACGTGGGTGATCCTATTTTCTGGGCAGCAGAGGGGAAACAGTCTGCTGCGAAACGTATCCATATAAACATCATTCACTATCTGTAGCCCGTCTGTAAATTATAATCTTATATTGCTAATCATGTAACATCCATCTTATCTACAATACGCAAATAGTTATTTATTTATAGTGCTGTTTACCTTTCTGCGCTATCCAATTAAAAAATGAAGCAGACTGATAAAATGTATTGCTAGATATACACGTTAGCGACGTATTGACTCGTGGTACACAGAACTGTTTTCGCTGCCAAAGTGGGTCAAACTAATAAATTGCTGTACTATTTGTGTCAGGCGGAAGTAATTAAATATCCCTTGATTGTCTGGCTGTTACTTTATAACTACGCATATGGGGCACGAACCGCTACAAGGACCATACGTAGAACGAAATTATAAAATGCTCTAGCACTATTTTATCGCTTATTTATTATTTATATTAATATAAGTTTATGATCTTTCATGAATGCTATTTGATGCCTCCTTTGTACGATGCTTAGGTAAATCGGGAGGATTTTTTAGTAGTCTTAATGGCCCAGTTATCGTAATGAATAATTTAGTAAGTTCTAAATTTTATGCAAATGACACCACACATGCTTCTGAAGAACTGGCAGCGGTCGTTTAAGAAATCTGCCTCATATCGTATCAATGTGGGTCAAACTCGATCGGGGTCGCTTCCATGGAGCGATACAACCGACACGAGCTACCTGTTCTCCCAGCAAAGGGCTATTTTTTTTAACGAACACTGTCGACTATATGCGCTTCAATTTAGCTAGGAAGAACCATCGAGCTATTTTCGAACAATTTTTGCCCCGTTGTACCTATGATCGTTATGCACAAAAGTCATCGATCAACTAGTAAAGACCTGAAACCGTCTTTTTAGTTGGAGTATACACGTACTGTTTTTAAGGGCAGCAAGGAAAAAACTAGATTTTGTCTCATTAACTAAGCAAAGTTGGACTTCTCAACGTAACAAGTGAAATCGCTACCATTTCACGATCAGGTAGGCGTTATTAATAGACACAGAAGTAAGCCTGAACTTTCATTACTTATGCGCATCTCATCATCGACTTCACGACATCAATAGCTGACGTCAGGAGAATCGAATTGCAACAAGAGATGCAAACTTTGTGGGAGTTACGACAGAGAAAATCTGTGCTGTCCCGGCTGCATTGTTTATACTATTGTAGATGATTAAACTGTTTCCATAGCTGAAAGAGCCTTGCTTGATGGTTTCTTCTGTATACTTCGATACCTTAATTTGAAGATGTTAATTCGTCTCGGCTACACTATGATTCACGTAAACATGAACGTGACAACTTTCAAAAACAAAGGCTACTCGTTTGTTTCATTAATACTTTTCACCTCTCTCAATTCGAAGATACATCCGAGAGGAAGCAAGACGCACGCAGATATACAAAATTCCTTAAACTTCGCTTCGGATGTATTTTCGGATACACTTATACATATCCAAAAGCCCAGTAGGCCCAACAGGCAGTATAGATCTTGTGTACGAATAGCGCTTCCAGTGTGTTGAGCCTTCTATTTCTGCAGGACAATGAATCAAACTTCAGAAAAATGCGAACTTCAAGCCAAACATATAGCTCTTGTATTTGATAGTTACGTTCCCTTGCTGCCATAGTAAAACCCCATCTGTTGCTTAGCCCAATAGAGATGACAACATGCGACATCGAAGCAACCCATTTAAGATGCTGCCTCAAACAGTCCGACGTCGATCAGATATAATCGACAGTGGAATTATTTATGAGTCTGCTTAACAATAATCGCACGTAAGAGATACAATAGGCTGATCAACTTGAGGTCAGAGATAGCCATACGTTTTTCAGAAGTGGAATTGCTACAGCTAAAATTATACGCGTGTTAAAATCAGATATTTGTCATATAGTCTGCGAGCGTGGGCTTTGGAGTAAAGATACCTAGCTCTAACAGAACAATCCGTAGTATTTGAGTCTGCCCGTTTCTGAAGTGTGTGCGTAGTGGAAAAGCTCGATCGCTTAATTCGTTCGTGTTTGACCAGCTCCCCTGCGACACGAACGGCGCAGAAAAACGATGCATTGCGGACCTGGAAACTGCGGAAATTGGAATTTTCCAGACACCTTACTAAGTCTAGAATTTTATTACAAGATAAGGACTCTCGATAACACGCTAAAACACGGCAATGTCTTGCTAGTACCTATATTATACGAGACAAACGCAATGAGTTGTGAAATGCAGATATACTACGTTGACCTGAAGGTTAAGTGGCGAGCAGGCTGGCTAAGGCTGGTTTTCTATAGCCGTTTAGTAATGCACTGTAGCTGTATATAAGTTTAAAAACTGCTAAAAACAAGTAATAAAGTTTACCTCTTGGTAGAGTTACGTTAGTGCTAGCGACGATTGGTTTCCTCTTCTTCAGTAAACAGGTATCACTCAATTTTCAGTCGAAAGTTAAGAACTTACGTTATTGCAGACGGTTTCGGTTGGCAAAAAAATTTGTTGTGGCAATACCAGTATAACATTTCAATCAGTTAGCGCATTCTAGTCTACTGCTAGGCGCAGGCAACGCACGACGGTGATAGCGATACATTATAGTTGCTGTTTCGAAATCAAATAATGAGGTTAACGGAGATTGGAACAATACTGTATTCTGCACTGTCCATCTATTCAGACCATTTTTAGGACCTCTCCTTATGAACCTGACGCCTGAAAACAAAATCAGTAACAAGAGTATTAAAAATCGGTCAGGCTATTACAGAGCATTAATTAGACATATTATCGTGTAAGCTTACTAGGAAACTGTAGAAAGATGTGACGATTGTGAGAGGGGATAAGAGAGGTTCAATACAGGTGTTACATTCGCTCTGTCACCTTTGAAAGGTTTAAAAATCATATTTATGTAAGTCTTACAGATTGTTCACTGTTGACTATAAATTCGCTTCATGTACTAGTGAGGTAGTTTTACTAAGAACAAATCATGTTTGAAACAACAAGATATAACTACCACTGCGTAATAAGAGCTACATTATCGATTCTTATAGAAATTACCTTCATAAACAGATGAGAACCAGTGCCGGACAACTGGGCCACGTACCGATTGCAGTTATATTGACAAAAAAAAAAAAAAAAGACAACTTACGAACCATAGGTTTTGTTCTTTCGCTTTATTTTAAAGCAGTAAGACTGAGCTGAAGCGAAATGACTACGGTTTTACAGAGATGAATAAAGCTGCTCACGGTGGAAGTCTTTCTTATTGTGAACATAGGGTCTGATGACATCTGTTATTGGGACGACACTTCTGGATCTTACTGAAGTTTACGAAACGAGAATCGACCTCGCGTCACACATCATCACCTCCAGAGGTTGCGGAGCTCTCCTGGGCTCCTTCTTCGGTGGAATGCTTCTTGACAGGTACTACTGCAAATCATTTTGATTTTTTAAGATGAATGCACCATTGTTCTTAAAACTGTACCTACTTTAAGTACATGCAGCCAGTATTGGAGTAGAAGCATAAGCCATGTGCTTTTTTGTAATGCATAAAATTTACTGTTATTATTGGTGATGCTCATATTTTTTGCTGAACGGCTTTTTTACAAAAATCAATTTAACTAATAGCAGAGGTATATTTATCGATATTTAGCTTACTTATTAATAAAAAAGACATGGATGCAGGTGTTTTTTTTGTATCGTAATCCGACATTCCTAATTTCATTCCTGATTAATGCAACCCGGGAAGTGTCTGGTCGATGATCAGAAGGCAGTGATCTAAATGTCGATATCGATCTGCGTTTGTTTTTTTTTAATTATTATTATTAATGCTATGCTACAGCAAGCGGTTTATTAAATCGGCTGATGCGTTCATTGTCGCATCTTGTTGAAATTCACGGCATCGTCTGTACGAAGCTGACGTCTATTAGGGCCACTTTGACGGTGTCGCTCGGGCTGTTGCCGACGATCCGATGATGATGATTGTGAGCCTGGTTATCTTGCTGGCGGTTACGAGATATGTGAGTGCGGATCCACTAAAGTGATGCCTATTGCAACAAACGTTAGAAGCAAAAGGGATAGACGCTGCTATCATTTATACCACAGTAGACTAACCGCCAAATATAACAGTGGCCTAGTCAATGGTGGACATTGATAGGTTCGGAGTACGAAAGCATTTGTAGTTTCTTCACTTATCCTCCTTGTGCTATCGACTTGTGCTGCTGCCATTTAGTCCTGTAAGGAAATCTGTAGCGCGTTGTTGGGCGTACCTTGACTTAACCGAGATGGTTGGCGGCATCCAGCATCAATCGACATTTGAGGTAGCCAGAACCACAAGCAGTTAACAAGTACTAGTACGCATAGCCCCTCTCTTGAGCTGAATTTGCTCGGCAGTGAAGAAGCATGCCCTCAAGTTTGCCCATGAATACTTGAACGATAAATGTCTCGCATTTATTGGCGGCATAGCTTGTCGGTACTTTGACCTGTTATCAGTATCTCGTTGCGTATAATATTTAACTACTCTACTGACAAGGAAGAAGAGGCACTCGATCAAGAGCGATACCTCGAGGACACGAGACTAGATGTGATGCTGCCAAGGATCAATGACGTGTATATAGCTACGAAATGCCTTTTGAAGCAGGCACTCAAGAAGCCTGCACCCTTTTCTGTGTTTTCCATGTCGACGAATATTTTAGCGATAGTAAAGCTATATTCTTGTCAATTTGATTCGTGTGAATTATACCATTATAACAAACGACAGTCGTACTGACGCTAATCATGCTGCAAACCACTGAAAGATTTAAGTAAAACGTGCTTTTAACTTTTTTTCAAACGTCGTAGAAAAATGTCGGAGAACATCACAGAAGTGCAGAAGAAATATTGTGCTTTACGTATCTTAGTCCAATAGGATCTACTGACATCGTCTATTCACTTAGAGATGACATTGCAAGTTGATCCTAAATATAAATAATAGATAATCAATCATATATTACCTGTACACTTATATATATATAATGGATGACCAATGTACAATTTCAAGGTACATAAAAGGACAACGAGGAGCATCGCTAATAGCATAGAGCAATAATATACATTCTTTGTTCTTTTGTTTTTGTTATTTTTTATTCGACCAGGTTCAACATGCAGGTCTTGATCACAACAGCATTCTTTATTGCGTCTATCGCCATCTGCCTAATTCCTGTCTGTCCAACCCTAACGTTAGCTTATGGAGTAACACTTGTCTACGGTCTTACCGTAGGAATCTTCGACACTGGTAAATAACATAGAACTCTGTTGAATCTAATATCATAAGAATGTAAATGAAAAAAAGAAGCATACTCGCGCTGAGTACTTGGATAATTTAAAGTTTTGTTTTACATTTTATATTAACAATTAATTTTAAGGAAATTTATGACAAAGCCAGTTAAAGTGCCTGGTCCTCAGCTTCAGGCTTTATGTTCGACATCGCCGTACAGCATCCCAATAAATTCTAAACACTGAATAAGTTCTTAGATAGGAAAACGTAATAACATAACAAACAAAAGTATACCATAAATAAATTAATTTTTTTCTTGAAATCATCATAAACAACAACATCAGAAATTTCGCTTGTAAATAACATTACAATAGCCTTATTGTCGTACACAAATTTAAAGGGCATACCAAATAAGCAGTATGTAAAAGATTTACTGCGAAATTGTTGCTCGACAAATGAACATTATTTGTCGTTTGGACTGATTTTGCAGGAGCCAACATCTGGATCATCAACTTGTGGGGTAATAAAAATGGCCCAATGTTGCAGATTTATCATTTTGCATTCGGTGTCGGCGGCCTGTTATCCCCTATTGTAGCTGAGCCCTTTCTTAGTTTACATCACAAGGACGCAAGTGCGTCAATAGCACATTCGCATATGCCACGCTCCATCGATCTATTTGATCCTATGGTTGACCCGATTATTAACAACACTCTACCTACTCAGCTGTACCTTCGTCCTTCACGTATCGAAGTGCCGTACGGATTGATCGCCGCCATCCACTTCATGCTCTTTGTATCAATGCTTGTATTCTATTGCATTGATCCACGTGATCCTAAGCCACAGAAGAAAGCTGAAGGTGATGAACCGCAGCCATCAGCTCTGAAACGTTATTCCTTGTTGATGTGTCTTTCGTTCTACTTGATGATATACGTGGCGCTGGAGTCGTGTCTTGGCCAAATGTTATCGGCGTTTGCAGTGAAAAGCAAACTCCAGTTTACCAAAACGCAGGCCTCCTATCTGTCATCGTTATTTTGGACAACATTTACTATGTCGCGGGTATTTTCGGCCTTCTGGGCTCTGCACTCCTCACCGCGTTGTATGATGTTTACAGAGCATGCAATGAGCCTTGCTGCCTTTTTTCTGTTCCTTTGGTTCGGCGAAACAAGTCGAATTATGGTATGGGTTTGCGCTGCACTCGTCGGCATTGGTGCCGCTGGGATGTTTGCAACGGCCATCACTTGGACGGTAAGAATTTTTCTTTAATCTTCTCATTAAATTAATTATTGCTCAGCAGTGGCAGAGGACATATTGTTCTATGTAATTTTATAACTTCAGACGATGAATCATTCATTTAGCAGTGCAGATGTTGTTTACGCGTACAAGGAGCAAAATACCTGGAATATCTGTAACCAAAGGCTTGAGCGGCGAGCTTGCGATTTGAACAGACGTCTTTTATAACTTTATTTGAACAGTACGGTCTTTGAACTAGCCATTGTGACCGTCAAAACTCAATACACCTAGCTATACCTTTGCTCTGCACTACGCTATAATAGTGATCTATTACCCTACTAGCACTTCTAGCCTTGGTTAGTCGGAATTTTTATCATTTGTTTTTTTGTTACTGTGGCGCTATCATACACTTAGGTCGAGTACATGGCTTTGTCCAACAAGATGATGTCCGTGTCGACGGTATTCTCTGGGTCTGGTGGAATGGCCCCTCCATTTATTGTAGGCCGCTTCATCGACGAAAATCCTATGATTCTTATGTATACCTGTACTGCAATCACTTGCATACTCACAGGCATTATGGCAGGTCGGTATATAGATATGGCAATCACGTTTATTATATCGTATCTGTTCTTCAAAAAGGCCTCTCAAGCACGACGTCATGTACAATATATACCTGGAAACTTTCGCCATAGACCCATCCTACCTTGCTTTTGAGAACATTAATCATCAATTCGCATATATGTATAATGTAATGAATGTGTATGTGCATGTATATAGGGTGTACTGGTCATCGTCACGACATACGTTCACTTGTACTCCACGTACCATAAAAAAGCCAGTTTTTTCTATGACTAAACAACAAAGCTATCATAGTAAATAGTAATTCGTCGTTTTTAAAGTTTGAACAAAAAGAATAGCTCTATTATCCAACATTATATCCGACAATAGCACAAAATGTATATGCAATATCCGTGCTGGACGAACTTCCACTAAGACTAAGTTTTACCCGAAATCGACGCTCTACGTTATCACCAGTTTTCATATGGTCTTCCAAGATCCGAATGATTCTTATGCAGCAAACTGGAAGATCTTTGATAGCATTTTTTATCAAACAGTTTAAAAAATTCCTAGAACAGACCAATTTTGATACATCGAAATTTTGATGTATATTAGAAGCCGTTTTAGAATGGCGAATATTGCTGACTAGATCGTCAAGATAAGCAACGTGCTGTTTTTTTGAGCCTTCTCGTTTCTCTTCGTATTTTTTGGCCGCTTTCAAGGCCCTTGCCTCTTTGGGATGTTCGGTTCGCTATCAGCTCAAAAGTTCAACGGAATTTTTCGTAGCGTATTTGATTCACACCTCAGTGAGTTTACACCTACCCATGACGTATAAAGTGCAGTTACGACAAAAAAGTTTTCTGCGGACTGAAGAGAACACCTTGCAAATGACTGGTTAGTAGTAGTCCCAAGTTGAAGCTATAATCGCGGTGAATGGTAATTATCAATTTCCGACAATCATACCGTCTGACTATCAGAAATGTGTGAAATCCTGAATATATATGTATACATGAATGAATGAATAAAGGTTTGCTGTGATCTAATCAAATGGTATGGTATTGCAGCAATGTGGGCGATCACGAGCACGATGACTGCTCGAAAATCCATGGTTGTCGTTCCTGTGGAAATGGATGACAATCGCGGAGTCGATGCCGAAAAGGGTGAGAAGACTTCCGTTGCCATTGCTAAAATGTGAAATTCTCGTGCTATTAATAACATGTTGGAAGAAACTTAGATCATCATGGAAGCGTTTCACGTCGAAGAACCCAAACGCATCAATTGTTACCAGAAATGTTCCTTGATGGATAACACATTGAAGATGTATAGAAGTTTCTGTTGTCTCTGCTCAACCTCAGCAGTAACATGAGAAAACAACAAGTGAGATGTGCAGCCTTGGACGTAAAAAGAGCGTATGCTAGCAGCCTTGAGAGCAAGGTTTGTTAATGTTAGATAGTATGACACATTTGGGCATTTGTCCGAGGCTAAATCTGGGTCACATATTAAATCTGTCCCATCTTTGTCGAGGAATATGGGTAACACACGCTGAACGGCTGATCTTGCCGCAAGGCTGAGTTGCTTCATTGTTTCACTGATGCCAGAAGCCATTATTGGGTATAAACATTACTATCTAATTTTTACAACATACCCGTATAGCATCACCCAAGTGCCACTACTGAAGGCTTGGCCACCTACCGTCCAACTGGGTTTAGTCTAACCCAGATGTAAGTGACACCTACATAGATGCATGCACTCAGGCTTTCGATCTGGCCTAGAGAAAATGCCAATGTAATAGGTGCTTTCACGAGGCAATCGAATCATGGTTAACTTACAGGAAAGGACACCGACATCATACATTAGAGAAATATAATACCTCCATTTATTGCGGTATTTTACTGAGCAAATGTGAAACTGTTGTTTTGTGATGGGAGAATGTGTTTTAGTAAATCAATAGTTGTAAAGAGCGCACATTCTTGTAGAGCAACTCACATTTGTTATACTGAAGAACGTATTGAAGCTTTGTTGTACGAGATGCGGTAGACAGGAAAAAACGGAGTGTATGTAAAATGTTATGCCTTCTTAATAATTATATATATATATATATATATATATTATAATATATATATATATATATCTATATGTATATATATATATGTATAGATATATGTATATATATATATATATGTATATGTATATGTATATATATATATATGTATATGTATATATATATATGTATATGTATATATATATATATATATATATATATATATATGCAGAATGTGATCTTAACTGTCTTTTGGTAAGCAAAGTGTCGTTGAGCCTCCAACACCTGTGGGTAATATGTTGCATTTTTGCATCAACCAGTGACCAGTCAACCCGAGTGGATAAATCTTTTTAAAATGTTTGGACACCTGTGATACACTCAACTAGAGTAGTTCAAAAAAAGTGTATACAGAAGTTAATTTTTTAACGATTTGGTCAAAAAAAAGGAGAAATGAAGTAGGATTGTTCGCGCTGTTACAAACAGCTGCATTATAGTCATCAGCAGTTTTGTTAATATTCAAGACACTGTACAGTTTTTACTTAATGTCAGTTCACAAATAGCGGTGTTACGTATGATGATTCGAATGGCTTTATTTAAATATACGAAAAGTAAAAATAAAATCATGATTCCAATGTGTTCCATAGTAACTATGTGTTGTTGATTAATGAATTGATTGTAGTGATAAATAAAAGCACCTTACCTAAAGTTTAAGGTTTTATACCGTTCATTGCGTCATTTAGAAAAAAAATGCTGAAGGTCTACAGATTATACGATATTCTGGTTCGTCGAGAGTTCGAAATCTTTTTACAGATAAAAAAAAAAAAAAAATGCTAAACCAATAAGTGTTATTGGTGTCGACATGTTACTTCAACAATGCTTTGTTCCGAAGTTGTTATTGCCACCTTTTGACTTTTAGAAAATGGAAGTGGTTTTTAGGAATAGGTGAACAATCTTATATAAAGCAAGAGTCATTTGAATACCGCAACACCTAAACTTTGGGCAAAAACCCTGGTTATTTTTTAGCCTCTTTACACTACATCAAAAAAATTTTATTATTGTTTTGTGTTTCCGTTTATAGTTAAATTGATGCCCACCAGGGGCTAGTAAATTGTTTGATCTTCGTACGACGAATAGATTTCTTCAACAAAGTCATTGTAGTTTTCTTCTTAACAGGCATTTTTTATAACTTTTTTTTTTTCAGCAAAGACAATCCTGTCGTCGTTCCGAGTCCCTATTAAAACAATATACGAAACTTGGCCAGTTTTCCTATGGCACTAAAATAACAGCAACTAGTGGATTACGTATTCGCAACGGAATAGTAAAGACGGAGTTGTGACCTTATAGGTTTATGATTCCCTATGCTTCAATTTTATTGGCTATTACTATGTTCTAATATCTTTATTTTATATTTTAATATTTATTAAAAATAAATATTAAAATAAAGAGACGACTTGATTCAATAGGTTTTTATACACTTATAACGATATATTATTTCCTAATATCTATTTCGCTCACTAAGCTGGATTGTAAAAGCAAACTCCTTCTGATGAAAGCTAAATTTCCTTAACTCTAAACAATTCAAAGTGAACACTGTTTTATTTATGCATAGAGAGGTTCTTACTTAGTTCAGCGTTGTTCAAAATAACCGTTTCGACTTGAACTAGAGTGTGATAAACTTTGATCACTTCAAAAAGTCTAAATTCAAAATATGCTTAAGTGAATAGACCATTGATTTGATCGAAATCCTGGCGGGCGGTTCAGGCCGCTACCACCGTTCAAATTATTTAGACGGTTTAGAGTTGTATCGTTCATTATGATTATGATATGGCCCAAACTTGCGTTTTAGACGCAAGATGTATGTAAGGAAAATTATTCAAGGAACATTTAAAAAATTCAAAGTTTTCCATACCATAAATTTTTTTTCGAGATTTAAGGCAATCTGTTGCCGGTTCCTATTTAGCCCTTTTTTAGAAAACATAGCTACCTGTCATTTAGCACAGAAGGCACGGTTATTTTGAAATGGCTGAATTAAATATTGATATATCGCGCATGCAGCTTTGTATGGTGTCTAGATCAGACTAAAGATAAACGCTTATGGTGTTCCTAGTTTTTTATTAGGACCACTAGATAGTTGACTCACTTGAGCCATTACTAAGTCGGCGGCTAATATTTATAGCCATGACGAAAACAGTGCATCGTACTTGCAGAAATCGACTCTTATATCAGCCATTTTCCACGCACGATAAACGTTTACAGGAAATAAAAATCCTATTACTTTTTTACTCGATATCCACGGTATATGTTATTCCCAGGTTCCATGGAACTTTTGAAACACACGAGGAAGGAAGCCATAAGACGAAGTGGAAGGTATTCAATAAGGTTTAGATTTAAAAGGCTCGAAAATAATAAATTAATAATAAAAAAAGGAGAAAAAGCGAGTTTTAATAATCTTGGATTTTCGGTAGATCAGTCGGAATCTGTCTTCGGAAGGAGAATATCTATTGCCGATTTGATTATCCAGATAAGCTCTAATGATAAGAATTTTTGACCATTTTTGAAGCTTTTGGTCAGTCAGGTCAAAATTTTATCTCATCGAAATTTTCTGTATATAGCGTTTTTAGGCGACAATTTGAGGAGTCTACATATATGAGTATGGCTTGACGCACCATTAATATTAAGAGGGTATGCGAGGAACCATGAAAGCATAAACGACTAGTGCCCAGTTTAGATCCCAAGTTAAAGTTGTAATTAATGTAACACATTATTGTAAATACGATTGCCCGATATGACACCCCTAGCACTTACACAAAAAAAAATTCGTTGAAATATTTGTTTTTATATGAATATACTTTTGTAAAAAAGCTGGAAAGGTACCAGTTTTTACGGTGCACTCTGTGTCTAATGCGGATTCTTGGAGCGACCCACCAGCTGAGATAACGATTTGTTTACCCCATTTAGACTCCTTCCTAACTGCAATTTAGGCCGGAGTAAATATTACTACACTATCGATGCCCAGTTGACATAAAATTGCCTTCAAGGCTGTAAACGATCTTTAATGCAATTGAAATGGTTACAGTAGAAAAGCATTAATGTCGATTTGTATGTTCATTGCGAGTCTTTCCTATCACACGAGGCTCTATGAAGGAAAGCTATCTATCTATCTATCTCTGCTTGTGTATAAATTACGGCCTTCCTTGTAAACTGTGAATACATCTTTGCGCGGAAATAGGACTACAAAGAACGCCCGCATATGGTTGCATGCAGTGATCGATAGCTCTACTTAATACCTTGAGACGTTAGGCCACAACATAGTATTATGCTCAATATGTAGTAGGCTTTGGCGAGGATTGCTATGCTGAATGTTTGCAAGACTTTGAAGATGTCTTCGGTCAGCTAACGGCGGCTGGATTTTCAACATCAGCGTAGGAACTACGGTAGTTATAGACAGTTCGTTATGAATAGTATCACTGATTGATTCGACCCTAGTAGTATAGGGGATTATAAAATAATTAATAATTATCCTGAGGACAAAAAGTTTGTGAAAGTCAAGCCAATTTGAGATTTTAGCTGCCTTATTTAGGAATGAAATAACTATTCTTCTGGTGCTGGTTGTAAGAGAGATGCTGTTGAGGGACATCAATGATACTAGCTGTTCATAGTATTTCTGATTTCAACGTTTCGCCTATTGCTTGATGAGGTTGCTCCTACAGGCTCAATTAAGTCCCCTGTATTTAAGAACACTTAAAGGCAGTTTTTTCTCTCTAGAAACGGACCGAAATTGATCGACGAGTTCGCGTGCCTGTCTTCAAAAACATGTAT